AGGGATGGGGTGTTGGGGTATGTTAGGATTGACAGTTTTGTTTTTGAGTGCCTTGCCGCCAGGCCGATTGAAGCCGATGCCGGAGCCGAAGCAGGGCCCCAAGCCGCGAGAAGAGAGCTCGGATTCAGAAAAGGACAAGCCTGCGGGCAAGTCCAATTCCTCGGACAAGTCCGAGGAGAAATCCGAGGAAAAGTCCGAGGACAAGTCCGAGGAGAAATCCGAGGAAAAGTCCGAGGAAAAGTCCGGGAGCGGCAGCGAGGAGAAGAGCGATGGCTCGGCAGACTATGGGAAATCCAAGAGCAAGTCGCACTCCCGGGGCCGGAGCCGCAGCCGACGGGCAAAGAAAGAGAAGAAAGATAAAAAAGAGAAAGATAAAAAGGAGAAGAGGAAGACTTCCCCTTTTGATGCCCTGCTGAAGCAGGGCGGCCATGATGAGGGCACCGGCCTCACCGGCACCGGGGCCGGGGATGATGACGAAGAGGAGAAGAAGACATGGGGGCCCTATGGGGCGGTCCATGCTTTCAAGATCGCCGAGTTGGAGACGGTGAAGCCGGCAGGATATACGAAGCAAGGACAATGGGTGGAGGAGAAGGTGCGGTGCCCAATATGTTGGGCAATCAAGCCAAGAAGCACGCTGTTCATGCACATAACATCGAACAGCGGCTGCATGTCATGGCAGCAAAAGCTGCGGGGATTGGAACCCCCGCCAGCAAAGTTCCCTTGCCGCTTCTGCGGCAAGGCGTTCTTTAAGGCGCCAGACCGCGAGCAGCACGAGTACGGCTGCGGCGCCAAAAAGCCGGCAGAGCCCAGTGAGCCTCCGCAGGAGCCAAAGGAGCGGAAAAACAAGAAGAAAGAGAAGAAGAAGGATCACCGGGACAAGAATGATGAAAAGGAAAGGGCACGGCCATGCTCCTGGTCCGAGGTGTCGAGGCGAGGCGGGCTATCGAGGCGAAGCGTCCGAAGCGAGGCCTCCAGGCCAAGCAATGCCTCGGTAGCCTCGCCGCCGAGATCGAGGGGAAGCTCGCGCGAGCGACGGAGCCGGGGCGCTGTGGTGATAGTGCCCCGCCGTGGCCGGGATGTCATCGATGTCCCGTCTGTCTCCGTGCAGAGGCAGCGGTTGGACTCCCGCAGCCGAGGCCGGGGCCGCAGCAGATCCAAGCACTCCCGGCGCCGCCAGGAGAGTCGCCAGAGACAGAGTCGGCAGGGCCAGAGCCACCAGAGCGAGGGGGGCGAATCCTCAGATCAGAGGGTGGTGGCGTTCAACCGACTTCTGTCTTTGGGCGAGAGGATCCTCTGAAGGGCCCCTGAAGGGCAAGCGGCAAGCACAGGGTGTGCCTGCAGCCAGGTTTTAGATGTTGTATGTATGTGTTGTGTGCACACAGATATCCATACCTAATATGTTAGGAAATAAGTAGGGTGTTTTTCCGAGCTGCAGGGCACCGATGCTGTTAGGCCCTTCGTTTCACACAGAATGGGCAGGCACAGGGAGAACTATAGTATCTAAGGGGTTACAATATGTCACAATAGGTTTTATAGCACGATAGGTCTCAGAAGCAGTGTGTAGATGTGCCAAGCCGACACTACAGTTGCAAACTTCACCGTGCCGGACCGCACGATGCAAAAAACAGGGCATAGCAGTGCAAACCGTTGTGTATCACAGTCGAAAGCAGGGCTTCAAGGATTTTTTGTGGTATCGCGAGGGTTTGGGGTGGAGGTTCGACAACCCACTGGATTCCAGGCTTAAGTAGGGGAGGGGTTGTGTCCCTCCCATGTCCCTCCCGTGTCCCTCCGGTGTCCCTCCCGACCCGCCGGGTCGGACCGGCCGCACCCCCGGTTTCCTGTGGCAGTCCAGGGGCCTCCCCGGCCGTCCCGCCACCGTCCCGCCACCGTCCCGCCACCGTCCCGCCCCTGTCCCGCCCCTGTCCCGCCACTGTCCCGCCACTGTCCCGCCACTGTCCCGCCACTGTCCCGCCACTGTCCCGCCACTGTCCCGCCGGTGTCCCGCCACTGTCCCGCCGGTGTCCCGCCACTGTCCCGCCGCTGTCCCGCCGCTGTCCCGCCATTGTCCCTCCACTGTCCCGCCACTGTCCCGCCGCTGTCCCGCCATTGTCCCTCCACTGTCCCGCCACTGTCCCGCCTCTGTCCCGCCACCGTCCCGCCACCGTCCCGCCACCGTCCCGCCACCGTCCCGCCCCTGTCCCGCCGCTGTCCCGCCACTGTCCCGCCACTGTCCCGCCACTGTCCCGCCACTGTCCCGCCGGTGTCCCGCCGGTGTCCCGCCACTGCCCGCCACCCCGGCACTGTTCCGCCGGTGTCCTGCCACTGTCCCGCGACTGTCCCGCCACTGTCCCGCCACTGTCCTGCCTTTTCAAGACTGTTTCCAGGTTCTTTTGCTGCTTGTTTGGCTCGCGAGGGTTGAACCAGTATCTAAAGTCTTCACACACAACACACACAGTTGTCACACATAGCATGCTGTTTGCTCTATGCTTGCAAATGCGAAGCTGCGAAGCTTCTGTATGCACGGAACAACACAACTTTTGAACTCCGAGTCTTCAGGCACGAATCATGCATAGTCATGCAGTGAGAGAGTCATGCAGCTGCTCTTAGCGGTCTGTTGCACACCATCAGGCATGCAAGAGAAAAAAGAAACACACGTCAGCTCACCTTTCATTGCTTCCACCATTTCCACCACCAGATTTGCTCCCCGCCATCTTGAATGCTGAGTTTCCAGCACCACCGCCACCTGGCCTGATGGCTAGGTGGCGGTGTGCGGGATCTTTCGTGCCGGCCGGCCTCACCACTTGCTGTTCCTTTGACGGAGGCAACCGTGCGGGTCTCCTCCTCTCTTTCGACCCTTTGAACCGCACGGCTACTCTGTGGCGAAGCACCCCGCTTCCTTTTGTCTGACATGCTGACTGCTAGCAGAAGGTTGATGCTTGAACACACATTCTGCGGATCAGTTTCAACCTTTGTGTTTGCAGCTTGGCAAGAAGGTGCATTCCCGTCAAGATTTGTCTCACAGTGGCTTGTTAGCTAACTAGTTAGAAAGGGAACCGTCCCCTTTGGAAAGAAGGACCGGTGGGCACCGGCCTGCCGGCCAATGGCCGACGATCATCTGGACACAGAGATCGCCGGCTACAGGGCCGGACGAGTGCTGCGGGTTCTTGGCCGCCCTTTGAGGGTGACTGAGCCTTGTGTTGGACTGGGAGGGCTACGACGGTTGTGTGAGCTGTCAGGAAGCCAGTACCTGTCCACACAGGGCTTTGACACGGAAGCTTCCTTGCTTCCCTACTACAATAACTTGCAGAGGTTTTGTGGTGCTAGCGGTGTCCAAGCCTTGAGATTGGGCACTGACGGCGATGTGGAGAAAGTTAATCCGGAGAGCTTGTTGCCCGTGGAAGCCATTGTGGCTGGCCCCCCGTGCCAGCCATGGGCAGGAACCGGACAGCAGCAGGGCACAGCTGATGCAAGAGCTTCGGTCATGGATGTCTGCATCGGCTGGATCATAGCTCAGGCTTGGCAGGGTCAGCTGCTAGCCTTCGCTGTGGAAAACAGCCCCCGGCTGCGTGGAACTCCATATCTGCGGGAGCTGCTGCAGCGACTGCGGGCGTGCATCCCCATGTTTGCTGTCTCCGTGGAAGTGCATGACCTGTGTCAGCTTTGCCCGCAGCACCGGGAACGTTTGTGGATCCGGGGCTTGAGGAGGGATTGCCTCCGAGGCTTGCCTGGCCTGCCGCCGCCTTTGAGCATGAAAGACCTCGGTGGCAAGGTGAAGGTGCCTTTGGAGACCGTGTTGGTCGAAACACACGGCGATGGAAAGGTGCTTAAAAATCCCAAGAGAGCACTCCCAACGGACCCAGGATCACTCTCCCCAAACATGCAGTGCAACTTGGCGGCCTATTTGACTCGTGTGCAGGGAGACATAGAAAATGGGAAAGCAGGCGAGATAGCCGTGATCGAGCTGGACCGCAATCCTTTGAAGGATTTCGGCGGCGGTATAGTCTACGACGGCACCCCGCCTCTGCGAACAAAAGGGCCGAAGCTGTGGCTGCTTCGGACACAAGATGTCAAGGAGAAGCGCCCTTGGCAAGAGCACAGCTTGCATAGGTACATGCTACAGGAGGAAAAAGCTATGCTCCAGGGGCACGACCCCCGAACCCCGTGGCTCTTCAGCAGCCAGACCCAAGCAGAGAAAGCAATCGGTAATGCTTACCACCCTTTGCATTTGGGCATCATGCTGTGCCCTTTGCTGGAGATTGCTTTCCTGCAGCTCCCCCAGAGGCAGCTCTGGCAGCTCAGCTGTCAGAAGGCGATGAAATGGACGAGGATGAACAAGCCGCAGTTCACCCGGAGCCAACGATGCCACTGCCCATAAAGGTGAAGGTTGAGCCTGGGTGCAAGACTTGGGCAGTTCACCCGGAGCCAACGATGCCACTGCCCATAAAGGTGAAGGTTGAGCCTGAGTGCAAGACTTGGGCAGTTCACCCGGAGCCAACGATGCCACTGCCCATAAAGGTGGAGACTTGGGCTTCCGGCAGACTCAAAATGGAAAGGTCCAAGCGGGACTCTGTGGTGAATTTGGCTTCACCGCAGAGGCGGGTCCGGAGAAAGAGAGGCGACTGCTAGGTTGGCTAACAGATTAATTCGACAATTAGCAACCAAGCCGGTTGCTGCAAATTACGTGCAACCGTGCTGCTGGATGTGAATTAGACAGAAACTGAACGGCGAAAACAAATAGGTTTCATTGGAGCAGACCGAGGCACGACAGAGCAAGCCAATCCATTAATGTGTGATTCCCATAGCACACCCACATATTCATGCTAGGGGTAGGGTTTCAGCTCAGCAGAGCGAGAGTTCGCTGTAGGAGCCTTTGGTGTTGCTTTTGAAACCATGGATGAAAGAATCCTCTGAGCTTTTCCCGCAGCCGTGTTGGGCCGCTCTGCCCAGGGTGTTAACTGGTGGGTGTACAGTGTACAAGAGACTGCTGTTCTGTAGTGAACATGGCAGCTGCGGGATCGGCTGGGGAACCTGCGGCGGCGAGCGGAGAGACTGCACTGGGGGCACTGTGCTGCCAAAAGTGTGGCCAGTCGACGACCATGTCGCTGTCATCAGCGACTGGTCGAAATCCATTGCTCCGAGCCTGTAATGGCTGTTTGGCAACGGATCGCTGGATCAGCCGCATCACAACGAAACCCAAGAACCGCGAAGAAACTGAAGACGAAAAGCAAAGGAGGGCGAACGGTATGAAGATAAAAGAGGACCTCAAGAAGAAGTCGGCTGAAGAGAAGAAAGCCTTCTACCTCGAACAGAAAGTCAACCGCCAAGCGGAGGACCAGAAGAAGAAAAGGACGTTCTCGTCCGCGGTGGGATCCGTGGAGGAGTCGAGGGAGGCCGCGGCGCTGAGAGACGATGTCACGAATTACATACCCTTTAAGAAATGGGCGGCTCAGGAAATGGCACTCCGAATCTATTCGAGTCTCGGTGAGGCGAAGGTTGCCTGGGAGAAGTTGCTTCAGGATCCGAGCACAGTGAGCATAATGGAACACGGTGAGGCGCTCGTGTTGGATTATTCGGGCATCCAAGTCCGTGGACGACAGTCCCACAGCCTCAAGTCAGCCATGCGGCAGAGGATGGACATCTCCGAGCAGAAGGATTTGGATGAGTACATGGAGGAGTCCGACTCCCGCATCAAAAGGGGCCGGTCGAGGCTGGCTGTGGAGATGACCGCGAACTCGGAAAAGACCGGCGACGAGCCCATGTCCGTCATCCCACTGCTGACGGTTTCAAAGGATTTGAGCCAGCTGCGGGAACTGGAGGAGGCCCGAGATGCGGATCTGCAGATGCAGGCAATTGCCATAGAGGAAAGCCAGAGGCAGGAAAAGGAGGAGAGAAAGCGGAAGGCCGAGGCCGTCGAGAAGAGCCTGCCTCTGGAGAAGTTGGCCCTGCAGGCCTCCCGGAAGAAGGCCATCCAAACGATGGGAGATGTTGTCCTCCGGAACCAGGCGACAATCACAGCACTCTCCGCTGACAGCCACAAGCTTTGTGAGTTTGAGAACCAGGACCTGAAGGACGAACTGAAAGAGAAGATGAGCCACGTCGACCGGGCTATTGCGGTTCTGGGTGAGGAGATCGCCAAGTATGACTCTGAGTGGGAGAAGAAGGAAGTGGAGGCCACAACCACGGCGGATGAGATGGCCGAGCTCCGAGGGGAGATCGCAGTGGTCCTCAAGGGGTTCCACTCCAACAACGACTCATGCAAGAACGTGAAGAACAAGATCCAAGACGTGCGAATTTGGATGGCGAAGACGAAGAAATCGATCAACGAGCGAGAGAAAGCAGCTGCCAAAACAGCCGCTGGAAAGAAGATGGGCAAGCTTGCAGCAAGCATGCCCCTGGAAGCCTTGGCCGAGAAATTGGCGAAGGAGCTGACGGGTGAAAGCTCCTTTGGCAGCGTGGACTACAGCTTGACCCCCAAGCAGCTGCTGGAGAAGCTGGCCCCGGTCACCTTCGATCTTGCTCGGGGGAAGAGCCTCTGCGAGACAGTGGCCACCCTCGACTACTACCGACTTCAGCAGTCGTGGGTGCTTGAGAAGATGAAGGCGAGTGGGTCGAACTCCTGCTGTGCGGTGATATCCAAGAAAGCAGTCGCCAAAAGGCTGAAGGACCAGCTGATCCGGCAGTACCCTGAAATTGGCGACTCCGAGGGGGATGCGATGGCAGGATTCCCGACCGAGATGCAGGACACCTTCAGCTTGCAGTTCGGCCAGCGTTTGGGGGGCACAGCCTCGTTGTGGACCCGGACAGACATGAACTGCCCGATGCTCATGGTTTGCCTGGAGGGCAAGCTCACAGTGGGCGGGGTGCCATCGAAGCACCTGCAGGCCGCGACCTTGGCAGAGCTGCCCAAGAAGCTCGAGAAGATGAATGCCAAGGATTTGGCCCAGCTTGTGAAGACCAAGGGCTGGATGGTTCAGGTGCAGGCTCAAGGCAGCATCGTCATTCCGCCAGACACGTGCTGGTTCGAGGTTTCCTCGGGGGAGACTGTGCACAGCCTCAGGATGCTGATGGCTCGCGAGTCGCTGGCTGGGCCAATGAAAGCTTTCTTGGAGAAGATGCAGTCGGAGGGCAGTCTCCAGGATGGCGATTCTTACTCCAAGATGCTGGCATGGCTCCGAGGGAACAATGCTGCGGCATAGGCCAGCAAAACAAAGGCCGGGGCATCGATGCTGGATGACCCGAGCATCGCCCCAGCAGTGGCACCGATGCTGGATGACCGGAGCATCGCCACAGCAGTCCCACCGATGCTGGATGCACAGTGCACAGCAGAGGCGGCGATGCTGGATCGTGAGCATCGCCGCAGCAGTCCCACTGATGCTGGATGCACAGTGCACAGGGGGGGGCATTTTCAGAGTGAGTGCTAGGCGCTAGCTTACCAGGGTCCAGTAGTCGCACATGATGTCCATCAGAGAGATGCAAGGTAATAAGAGTGCATTTTGACCTGGGCCCGTGTTTTCCTCCATGATGCTAGCCTGACTTGAGGGGTGACCCGACCGCGAGAAAGTGATTGCTTGTGTGTGCATGTATGGATGTGTTCGTAGCTCGGCTAGTCTAGTTTGTTGCGGCACGAGGGTCCATGGATGCAAAATGTGGCTCAGAGCAGCACTCCAGCGAGGTCAGGGTACCGAGGAGAGCACAACGGGGATCCACAATAGCATGTTGCGCAGCATGGCATCCGACGAGCAACCTTCGGAATCCCCGATCTTCCCATCGCAGATTGATGTCTCCGATGGGGAGGAAGCCCTTGGCGAGACTCGTGAGAAAGTTCTTCCGCTTGCTTCGCGAGGTGATGTGCTGAAGAGGAGCAAAAAGTTTTTCGAGGGAGACAAAGACCTTGAGTTATTCTGTCTCGAGCAAGAGCTCGAGACAGTTAAAGAGGAGAATGTCAAGCTCAAGCTCACGACGAAATCGCAGCAGGACTCCATCGCCGTCTTGAGCCAAAAGATCCATCAGCTGGAGTCGTCCAAAAGCCAGGGCAGCCAGGGCGAACGGTGGTTTGGCGAGAATGAACAGTTCACCTATGTAACCAAGCGAGGAATCCAAACCTTGTTTGGCGGCTCGTCGCCGTCTCAGCCGTCGCCAAAAAAAAATCGCCAGCTCTCACCCTGACAAGGTGTGGAGGGCATTGCAAACCAGAAGAGTTTGCAGTGCCAAAGTTTTGACGGGAGCAAAGGGCCACCAGTAGGTTTGTGTGCCGTAGTCCTAGTTTTGACTCGTGTTGACAGGCGGTTGAAAAAAACAGGGAGTCCGAGTGCCGTGTGAGTGAGAGGGGCCACCCAAAAACCCTAAACACCTAACCTTCAAACCTAAACCCTACCTTAAACCCTAAACCCCAAAACCCTCAACCCTTAAACCTTAACCCTAAAACCCCAAACCCTAAAGCAGAGGAAAGTTTTGTGTTTGCACCGGGTAGGGACGCAGTTCTGACACGACATTTGTGTGCGAGCTGCAAAACAAACTGTTCGCGAATACTTGAAGCATTAGTTTCATGGCTTTGTGGGCAACATCACATAAAAGTGGCTGTAAGCTGAACATACCACCGTGTCCATCCGAATTATCGTGTAGGTGCCGCTGTTGGCACTATTTCGTAAGAATATCACTATGACGTCTGTTGCCACTTTTGGAGCCCGGGCCATTCTTATGGCGGTAATGCATCGTTTCTATTTCTGAAATAAACACGACCCAAGTTCCATCAATTTGGTACATCTGCACCGAAAGACACCTGCACTGGCAGTGAAAATGAGGTTCTGGGCTATAACTATCATTCGAGTCTCAAGTGAAAGTGATCGCCTCCTATTGACCGGCCCGCCGCTGCTTCTGTTGATATGTAAACAAAAGCCCGGAAATAGAGAGTTTTGGAACATTTGCAATTATGAGATGAACTCATATTGTTGTTGTTGGCCTCCAAACCCAGAACCTCGTGCCGGAAATTGTGTTTACCCCAAATATGGCCATATTTGCCCGAACCTCATAGCTTTTTGGGGTAGGGGTTTGGGTAGGTGCGCATGACCCGGGCTCCAGAGCAAACACCATAGACCGAACCCCGAGCCATGGCTGAAAGCTACAATGCCTACGAGCTGGCCTTCGAAGGAGTGGACCACGAAGAAGTTTTCTCATCTGGTGGGATGCTGCGGACGTTTCTGAAGTTCCACAAGTTCCTGGAGATGTATTCTGGGGATTCGTCGCAGAGTGTTTCGCTCCCGCCAAAGATTACGAAAGACAAAGTGGTCGACAATGATCTCATTCGCACATGGGCAGCTTTCAAAGCACCTCCGTTGGTCTTGCTGTTCACGTGTGCAAATCTGTCGCCAGGAGGGGATCTTTCCATTCGAGTCCGAGAAATCCTCAAGGCTTGCATATTTGCTGCCCCGGAGGAGTACATGGACAAGCCCTATGGGGAGATACTCGCCATGGTCATCAAGTTTGGTGGAGGTCTCAAACACATTGTTGCTGACTACGAAGGGAAGTTCAGTGCCATCACAAGATTTATGGTGGACGAGGAAGTGATCCGCGATGATGCAAAGTTGGCTGTGGTTGAACTGGAACAAGAAAGAAAACAAGTTCGGTTCGACTTGAACACTGCGACCAGGAACATCGTCAGCGCGGACGTGTACTACAATCTCGCCGTTCTCATCAACTCCGTGGAGACGCCCTACCAGACCGTGACAGACACGAGAATTCAACAATGGTATACGGTGAATCAGGACTACTACCACAAGTTGCCCATGTCAGGCAGAGCACCTGACCAATCCGACTTGTTGGGAGAGCCTACGTTATGTAGGGTGTGCAAGCTGATGTACATGTTCGCAAAGCACACTGGGTATGGACTTCGGACCTACAACCAGGAATGCGCAGCGAGCAACGATGGCGCTACGCCAATCAACGTTCACCAGCTGGCTTTGATGATGCGCACATTGCCTCAAGGCATGGGACATCCGCTCGCCTTTGCGATGAACTCACTCCAGGCGTTCAGTGTCTGTCTCCACGTGCTTCATTCCTACGTATCATGGGTCGATCCACAAACTGGACTCCCGCATTACAGATGGTCTAACGACGTGCTCCCTGATTCCGACTACACCACGTATGCTTTCCTCAAGCACCATGTGGATGCAGTATGTGCAGCTCAGGACAAGAACGGTTTCCAATTGCCGGATGCGTTCCGTGGCTACACCTGGAATCAATGCGGAGTTGAATCTGGGTACGTGGTCGACTGCTCTACCAAACGCGCCACATTGGGCATATGGGAAGCGGAATTCCAACAGATGAGGGCACCAAATCCGCTTATGCAAGATGATGGCCTATTTCCGCCCAACCTTCAACGGCATCCTAGCTGGGTATACTCAACGGGGAGAGTTGCGATGCCTACGGCAAGCAACCTCGAACCGGAAGGAATCGTGCACCCTGAGCATGGAAGAACGCCGGAACAATCGCAAGGATCCGCTGCCGGACCTCGAGCCACCCCTAGCCACGGACCAAAGAGGGCAAGGACGGACGAGGCAACGGCATCGGCGTCGTCATCTTCTGCGGCACCTCCTCCACAACAACCGACTTCGCAGCCGGAAGAGGAACCATCGCAACCGACATGGGAGGAAGCTCCAATCCCCGCTGGCGCTCAGGAAAGTTGGTACCATTATGTCAACATCGATGAGAAGGGCTGTCGCTCGATCTTGCTGACGACGACCCGTGATCAAGACGAGTACCCACCTACCATTGATGAGACGCCAAAGTTTGTGGCCAACCACGACGTGGGGACCACACCGATTCAGCATTACGTCAGAAGACTGGTGACCTATTTGGCAAGGATCCGTTCCGTCTCTCAAAATGATGACAAGGGTCTCAACCTGAAGGTCTACGTGAAGCTGAGTACAAAGGTGTGGTTACGAATGTATTCACGGCTGTACCATGCATTGGCATTGGTATCATGCGTGCATCTTCCTTCTCCTCCAATGCTTACCTCGGCAGTGATGATCGAGGCAGACAGCGATCTTGTCGACAACGATGAAATTCCGGAAGAAGCAAGGATCAACACCATGAACACGCTGAATGGATTTCGCAATAGTTTGGGCATGGGTGGCAAACCCGATGCCGCGACTATGCGCTCTCAGTGCACAATCCTCGTCCAGGACTTTGACATGGTGGCAAGGACCAGGGGATCAACGCACACGGTGAGAGAGAACCTCGGCATGCATGGATGGAGCGAGGTCTACATTGTGAGCCCGTCGATCACCGCAGGTGCCAACTACAACTTCCAAGTCACAAAAGGATCGTTGGAATCTGTGAATGCGACATTGGATGGCTTGACTGAAGAGCAGCTTGCAACCGTCACATTGCATTACCATCTGTCTCTCCAGGCGATCCTCATCGAGAACATGTCCTTTCCGATGAGTGAGGTTGGAGACGGAGCAGCAATTCGCACTGACTTGCAGCGACAGCTCAAGATCACGTACGTTGACCCTATCATTGCGGCAGGGAAGCGTACCACGCGCCCTCCAATTGTCAACATCAATCACGACTTACGGTTCGTTGGAGCAGCTAGCAATTACCTTCAGCACAAAGCTTCTCTGTTCAACGGTTTCCACGCGCTGGGAATGTACATTGAACTGGAGTTGCGGGCCCGAGCATGCGTGGTGATTCATGGATCTTCGTTTTGGTCAAGAATGTACAGCCAGATGAAACATGCGTCGTCAGGCGTGCATACACTGTCAGCCGAAAAGGTGCCAGCACCGGACAATCGGGTCAGGTTCAAATTGGGCTTCGCTATCTACGAGAAGCAGCTGTTCTGCGAGAAGATGGTATCCACGTGCTTTGTTGAGGCATCGAAAGTTCGCTCATGGGACGAAACTGTCCGCGCCGACTCAGTCGCTCACCCGTCGCTTGTCGAGATTTGGGAGGACAAGAGTGAAGTCAAGACGTCCACCAAGATTTCGCAGACATGGTTTACGGGAGAACAGCAGCAACAGATCAGGTCGGGTGCCCAGGGTGACACGGTCGCTGAATCGTCCACAGTCACCTGGCAGGATTTTGACATCGCCATGACCGTTCCCGAAGCCTACTACGACAACAGGCACTACTGGTTCCGGATCGACACCTATGCGACCCCGAACACCGGTTATGTCAAAGGGAGAACGTTCTATTGCCC